TTACTATATACATGTCTTAGGCTAAAACATGGATAGCCGATGCCTCAATAAATCAATTATTCATAGTACGTATGTATAACTGTACTCTTTAAAACGTCACAGGAGCGCTCAGCTGACATCATGCGGGACTACACTGACAGAACGCCAGTTGCTCATTCACAGCAGTTTCGAGATGAAGGGCGTTTTGTCAGCGTAACCATTGAAAAGTGGGGTTCTTCCGAAATGTGAAACTAGTTTATTCAAACAGTAGTCACCGCTTCCCTTTGATTTTTTCATATGTGTAGGGTAACTGGTCAGGGCTATCAATTTAGCAAATAACAAATTTGGCGACAAAAATGAAAAAGGGCATTTTGTCAGCTTAGGGCAGTACAGAGCGGACGGCACGGGTTCGAAGCACCGACTGGTTGTTCTTGAACTCGGCTCGTTTTGTGGAGTTTCCAAGGCTCTCCGACCATTTGGTTAGGTCCTATATTATTTGGAGATAGACGTTAAATTCGGAGGTCCCGAAATAACTGAAAAGTGTAGGGGGTGGGGGCGCCATTAAACTTCTTTACAAAAAGTCACAGATACAGGATACATCAACATGAAAGGAAATATGAATAGAATGCAGGAGGGTATGAATTTATTGTAATGTCCTTGAATAAATGACAAAGTAAGGAGAGAAACGCTCAAACTAAAATAACGCTCAAACATAGCCAACAAGTGCCTCTATAAAAAAATACATTATCAATGGTTCGGTATTGCTATTCTCCAGCTTGTTTCTTTATAAGGTTAGAGCTACTGCGCAACGCGCTCCTTAACTTCTACTTAACGGGTTGGTGGAGTGTGCCACTGTCAGGCCCTCCGTCTGTACTCCCCCTGCTTGTTTTTCTTTATATCTGCCGTGTTTCCCAGTACTTTGAGACTGGTATATTGTCTAGGCTGTGTTCCACTTTGTACTCCAAAAGAGCAAAACTTTTACCCAGTGGAGACCCGTCATGCAGTTGAAGTATGACGTCAGACTTGCACACTAAAAGATAATATTTTCGTCAATTCACTTTACTTTTACTTAACTTTTACATTTTTTGGTTCCTTTTGTATCCTCATAATAATTATTATGTCGGTAGGAGGTGGGGTGTAATTTTTGGTCTAGGGCAAAGTGGATGGCTTTTGTTGTAGAAATGTCGTTCTGTTGGAGGACCTCTGTGACGTCATCCAGCCAAGTTTTTCGTGATCTTCTCCTGTCTTTATAACTTGATATTGCTCACAACCACCAAAAATAAAAGTTTGGTACTTAAAGTGACTTAGGGTGAGGGGAGGGGGATAAATTTTCACCAAATGTCAATGAGCCCATAACGTACATAAAAGCAGCCAACGCGTACTAAGACCACTTACACAACATTAAGCAACTCACGTCCATAAGCACGCAGGAAGAAACCCTTGTCTAAGTTTCTCGTCACTTAATCAGCATCTAGCTTCCTCTGAAATGGAAACAAACATTTTTTTGCTTTGGCTTGCCGTAATGCGCGTGTTTTAGTTGCGCATACCCAGTTGAGTTTGGTTTGCCTTCACCCTCACACCTGCATGTGTGACTTGGGCAAGCTCTTCCATCTCTTGAAACAAAGTTCTTGGTTACGTTTGTAGCTCATACCGTTACAGAATACCTGGCACCTAGTACTTTTCTCGCTTGTTACTCCTTTTCAGAAGATGCTTTAGGCCGTGGTAGGATGTGTCTCTCCCCGCCAAGGTTACATGCAACGAATTATTTTTTATTTTACCGTTTTAACATGTTTAAGCGGGTAGAGCATTCAAGCACTTTTACCCATCTGACACACGTTTTGTGCATCAAGAGCGGTCCCAGCTCTGTTCACTGGGTGTATTTCCAATACGCAATTAAGAATGCATGGGGATTTGGAAGCCTCGAATAGAGGGGATGTTGAAGTAACTACATAATGTACCAAAAAAAAACCCAAGGCCAGTCAAATCGAGGTAGAGGAAGTCAAACATAATCCGTCGACCTGCGCATGCGCGCAGATCATAAATGAAAATCCAGCCCAAAAAGTATCTCCAGGCAAGAATCCCAGGAACTTGGCCAGGGATTTATGCCCCTAGAAAGTTGTTAAACAATTTAATTTGGTTCGCCACAACGCTAACACTTTTTTCTCGTTCCGTGTTCCGTGAAAGAGAAGAACGAAGCTTATAAGGATATACGAAGGAAATGCGGGACTCTATTGTATAAAATTATATCGGGACGGGGAAGGAGGGTTGTAGTGGTGGACCTTGGAGAGAGAAAGTGCCAAATGTGAGACATAGAGGGAAGAAAGAGGACGAAGGAAGATGAAGAGAGGAAGAGCGAGAGCAAGAGAGAGAAAGGGAAAGAGAGAGAGAGGGGGAGAGAGAGGGAGAGAGAGAGGGAGAGGGAGAGAGAGAAAGAGAGAGAGAGAGGGGGGGTTGATATAAATCTCGCACTCCCCCATTAGCACAATCAAGATCGGTTAGGATACTTGGACCCCGTTCGTTTTTCAATTGTGTGGCTGTATTTCCATCAGAGTAGCGA